GACCCAAATGAACTAAAATCCCACAAACCCAAACAAAATAAATCCCACAAGCCCAAAAAAATCCCAGAAACTGAAATGAACTAAAATTTCACAAACCCAAATGAACTAAAATCCCACAACCCAAATTAAGTAAAATGTGCCCCCAGGAACAGGAATTCCCACAACAAGGAATATCCTGAGTTTTTTGGGTCACTTGGGAATTGCCAACCCTGCAGGGTGAGGTGGAGCAGAACCAGGCGGTGCAACCCAGGAATGCCCAGGGAACACAAATTCCCAGGATTCACAGAATTCCCAGAATGACCAGGTTGGAAGAGACCTTCAAGACCATCGAGTCCAACCCAGCCCCAACAGCTCAACTCAACCCTGGCCCCCAGTGCCACATCCAGGCTTTGTTAAACACACCCAGGGATGGGGACTGCACCACCTCCTGGGCAGAACAAACACCTTGGGAATGCCCAGGGAACAACCCAGGAATGCCCAGAGAACACTTTGGGAATGTCCAAGGAACCAGGAATCCCTTGGAATGCCCAGGGAATATAAACACCCCAGGAATGCCCAGGGAACAAAAACACCCTGGGAATGCCCAAGGAACACAAACACCCCAGGAATGTCCAGAGAACACCTCAGGAATTCCCAGGGAACACCTTGGGAATGTCCAGTGAACACAAACACCCCAGGAATGCCCAGGGAACACTTTGGGAATGTCCAAGGAACACACCAGGAACGCCTTGGAAATGCCCAGGGAATACAAACACCCCAGGAAGGCCCAGGAACACTCCAGGAATGCCCAGGGAACACCCCAGGAATGCCCAGGGAACACTTTGGGAATGTCCAAGGAACACAGCAGGAATGGCACCAGGAATCCTTTGGAAATGGCCAGGGAATACAAACACCCCAGGAATGCCCAGGGAACACCCCAAGAATGCCCAGGGAACACAAACACCTTGGGAATGCCCAGTGAACACCCCAGGAATCCCTGGGAACACCCCAGGAATGCCCAGGGAACACTTTGGGAATGTCCAAGGAACACACCAGGAACGCCTTGGAAATGCCCAGGGAATACAAACACCCCAGGAATGCCCAGGAACACCCCAGGAATACCCATGGAACACAAACACCCCAGGAATGCCCAGGAACACCCCAGGAATGCCAGGACGTGGCCGTGTCCCCACCCAGGCCTCACCCTGCCCTCCCCAGCAAGGCAGGAAATGTTCAAATGTTCTCTGCTCACACCAAGCTCAGCAGATGCATCCCCATCACTGGGAATGTTTTTGTGCCACTTTGATGCCTCCAGCTGTACTTTCTTCCTGTCCTCTTTTAAAAAAAAAAAAAAAGTTCCTGAGAGCTTTCGTTGCCAATTTTAAAATTCTGTTTCTTTTGGTGCATTTCCCAACGATGGCTCCGAGGGAGGAGGAGAATAATGAAATAATGAGGGGGCTTTGATGGCAGATCACAGCAGAGCCATTTACTGCAGGATTCTGATGCACTGCTCTGCCTTTAAACGGGAATTATCCCTCACTGGCTCTTCCCTGAGTCACAGATTCCCCAGTATGGGGATTTTGGAAAGAATTTGAATGAGTTACAGACGGGACTTGTGAGTTTTCAGATGATGTGATTTGTTCTTCTTATCTTCTGCACAGGCAGGAAGGGTGAGTTTGGCTCACATTGTTACAGCGTGGGTCAGAAGGTCACAAGACCCTTAGTCAAAAAACTTTTAAAGGATTTATTGACCAATAAAACACTGCCAACAAGGATGTTTGTGTTTCTGACCCAGTCCTTAAATATTTCATCTTACGGACCCATGCTACAGTGCTAGCCAATCATGCCATGGCACACAAACCCACAGCACTGCATTCTAAACCCCGTGTTTACCTTTGTAATTAATATCATTGTTTCTCTATCTTAAACTCTAAAACTCTAAACTTTCCTCTTCTTAACTTAACCTGTCTCTGCTTTAAACTACAAATCCACATTCTCGCTTCCAGCACCTCAGTTTGGGAGCCTTTTCCAAGGTCTCAGATCAAATCCTGAGTTTAATTCTAAGCTTTGGTTTACAGTTCTGAGAATTCCCTGCATTTTGGAATCCAACACCCAAGGAACTGAAGCAGCACTCCAGCAGCAACCCCAACTGCATTTATCACCTCCTTCAGCCTTAATTAACACCCAAAATGCAAATAATTTGCTTTGGGGCAGGCTCAGGGTTGTATTTCAGCAAGTGAGCTCCTCTCCCACCCTCAAAATAAAACTCTGATTTATGCCAACGCTCTCTCTGTCACTCTGGCGCAGGTAAAGTTTTAAATACATTTATTTTCCCCCTCAGTTACAGCCCTGAAAGCCTCCTAATCACCAGTCAAATAAACCCCAGATTGTTTCAGATGTGTGTGACTAAAGGGCAGCCCCGGCGCCAGCCTTTGTACAAGATTTCCTGAGGCATCAAGGTAATAAAAGAACATTACAAAGTGTACAAGGAGCTGTGTGTAAATGCCAAAAAATGAACTGGAAATGTCAAGAAAGTGCAAAAGCAGCTGCGTGTCCTCTGCCCCAGGATTTGGGAGTGACGTGTCTCACACAGAGACTGGCAGATGTTCCAGCAGAGGGGCTGCAAAGGGGAGAATCTGAACAAATTGGGAACATTTGGGGGGAAAATAAAGCAGTTTTGCAAATGGATTTGTCTTTCCTCCCATGGGTGCTGAGCTCACCTGTCCCAGAATCCTCACCTGTCCCAAAAGCTTCCCCTGTTCCAAAATCCTCACCTGTACCAACATCCTCACCTGTCCCAAAATCCTCCAGTCCCAAAAGCTTCCCCTGTCCAAAAAGCTTCACCTATCCCAAAATCCTCACCTGTCCCAAAAGCTTCACTTGTCCCCACATCCCCACTTGTCCCAAAATCCTCCAGTCCCAAAAGCGTCCCCTGTGCCAAAATCCTCACCTGTCCTGACATCCTCACCTATCCCAAAATCCTCACCTGTCCCAAAACCTTCACTGTCTCAACGTCCTCACTTGTCCCAAATGTTTCACCTGCCCCAACATCCTCACCGGTCTGAAAAGCTTCACCTATCCCAAAAGCTTCACCTGTCCTAACATCCTCACCCGTCTAAAAGCTTCCCCTGTCCCAAAATCCTCACCTGTCCTGAAATTCCCACCTATCCCACAAGATTCACTTGTCCCAAAAGCTTCACCTGTCCCAAAACCTTTACCTGTCCCAAAATCCTCACCTGTCCTGACAGCCTTACTTATCCCAACATCCTCACCTGCCCCAAAATCCTCACCTGTCCCAAAAGCTTCACTTGTCCCCACATCCTCACCTATCCCAACATCCTCACCTGCCCCAAAATCCTCACGTGTCCCAACATCCTAACCTGTCCCAAAAGCTTCACTTGTCCCCACATCCTCACCTATCCCAAAAGCTTCACCTGTCCTAACATCCTCACTTGTTCCAAAATCCTCACTTGTCCCAAAAGCTTCACCTGTCCCAAAACCCTCACCTGTCCCAAAATCCTCACCTGTCCTGACATCCTCACCTGCCCCAACATCCTGCCCTGTCCTGCCAGCCCCCACAGCCTCCCCAGTGACCCCAACCCTGGCAATACCAGAGCTGCTCCCTGACCCTATAGGGACGAGTGGGACAATCCTGGGACCAGCTCTGACCCCACAGCTGCCCCCACTGCGCCCCTGCGAGCTCTGATGGCTTCAGCACCAAGAAACCCCCCCCAGTGCCTCGAGGCAGAGCAGAGAATGAGGGAATTTCAGCAGAAAGTGGAGGGGATTTGAGCAGAATTTAATTGTCAAGAGCAGGAAATGCTGCGAGGCTCCACCATCACCTCAGTGAAGCATTTCCCTGGCTGAATGTCTGGGGTAATTGGCCAGTTGGACTCATTACCAACAAGTTTTCAGCCTTAATGATAATTTTAGGGACTCAAGGTAAAAAAAAAAAAAACCAAAAACATTTATGGGGAACTGAGCAGCATTTTAGGTTCAGTAATCAACAGCCGTGTAAGCTGCATTTTAACATGGTTAATTTGTCATTCCCCCAGCAGCACCACGGAACATCCTGACATGACTTCCACTATAAAACAGCTTTTTCCAGATGTCCAAGGGTTCCTCTGCCCCAGGTTTGCAGCTTTCACACACAACCCTTCACCCCCACAGCCACTGGGCATCACTGATGGCACAAACACAGGGTGAGCTCAGGGCTGGGGGAGGCAGGGGCAGGGAAATGCAAAATAACAAATGGGTGAGGAGAATGCAAGGGAAGTGCAGTAAATCAAATCTCCTGGTGCCTACATGGACACTGCTCCTGGAAATCAGCCCCACATTACTGAGAGGAATGAGAAACTGGCGGATAAAACCAGCACTGAGAGAGAAAAGAAACAATGGGAAGGATTGGTGAATGGGAAAAGATATTTGCCTGTACAAATAAAATTTAGGTTTGCTGATAAATGGAATTGGATATTGAAAGATGAAAGAAACAATGGGGAAAACCCTAAATTCCATTAGAATTAAAAATTAAAAGGAGGGTTATACATTAGAGGGGAATCTTGGGGATCAGGTGTTCTGGGAAGTCTGAACCTCTCAAGTACCTCAGAAATGGGGAAAAAGTGAAGAGAAATGCAGCTGGGAAATTGGGATAAAAAGGAGGCTGAGTCCTCCAAAAATTGGAGAGATCCCAGGGGAATGCCCCGTGGCCTCTGCCTTTATTGGAATAAAGTAAAAGGACTCCTCTGTCTCTTTTTGGACATAAATCTCTGATGTCTGTGGATTAATTCTCCTGACATTACCCACCCTTCCCAGATACTCCAGGGAATTCAGCCAGAGCACACTTTTAACAAAAAAAAATCCCACTCTGCTGGAAGGAACCAGCAATTTAAATGCTGAAAAAAAAAAATTTAAATTACACAACAATGAGGCAGAGCTATCCAGATCCTGGTGCAGACTCTGCAGCTCAGTTTCCCACCTCCCAAGCCCAGTTCAGGTGCAATTCCAGCCCCTCCTGGACTCACCCTCGTAGCTGGCCTGGAAGCCTTGGGCACTCACGGCGTAGTCACTGACGAGCCACAGGGACAGCACCAGGCCAGTGCTGACGATGGGAGCGGGCAGCTGGAATCCTGTCAGCCTGGAAAAAAGCCACACAAGGTCAGTTCCACCAGGAAAAACCCACAGCAAGGTCAGCCCCAGCAGGAAAAACCCACAGTGAAGTCACATTCAGCAGGGAAAGCCCATAAAAGGTCAGCCCCAGCAGCAAAAACCCACACAAGGTCAGTTCCACCAGGAAAAACCCACAGCGAGGTCACATTCAGCAGGAAAAGTCCACACAAGGTCAGTCCCACCAGGAAAAACCCACAGCAAGGTCACACTCACAGGGAAAAACCCACAGCATGGTCACACTCACCATTTCTGACCTGGCAAAAAGCCCACACAAGGTCACATTCACCAGGAAAAACCCATAGTGAGGTCACACTCATCACTGCCCTACAAAAACCCACAGCATGGTCACACTGACCACTTCTGACCTGAAAAACCCACAGCAAGCTCAGTCCCACCAGGAAAAACTCACAGCAAGGTCTGCCTCAGCAGGAAAAACCCACACAAGGTCAGTTCCACCAGGAAAAACCCAGACAAGGTCAGTTCCACCAGGAAAAACCCACAGCAAGGTCACACTCACAGGGAAAAACCCACAGCACGGTCACACCACTGCTCTACAAAAACCCATAGCATGGTCACACTCATCACTTCTGACCTGGGAAAAGCTCACAGCAAAGTCACACTGACCAATTCTGACCTGAAAAACCCACAGCAAGGAAAAACACACAGCCAGGTCAGCCCCAGCAGGAAAAACTCACACAAGGTCATACTCACCATTTCTGACCTGGCAAAAAAAAAAACCCACAGCCAGGTCACACTCACCAGGAAAAACCCACACAAGGTCATTTCCACCAGGAAAAACCCACACAAGGTCAGTTCCACCAGGAAAAACCCACAGCAAGGTCACACTCACAGGGAAAAACCCACAGCACGGTCACACCATTGCTCTACAAAAACCCATAGCATGGTCACACTCATCACTTCTGACCTGGTAAAAGCTCACAGCAAAGTCACACTTACCAGGAAAAACCCACAATGAGGTTGCACTCACCACTTCTAACTGGAAAAAACCCACACCAGGTCACATTCATTGGGGAAAAACTCACACCAGGTCACACCCAGCATTGCTGCCCTACAAAAACCAGGAGTGGGGTTGATCCCATCACACTCCTGGAGGAGCTCAGAGCTCCTGAACACCTGGGACAGCCTGAGAGCAACAAATCCTGGGCTTTTCCCACCTTCTGCCTGCCCACAGGAACTGCTCCTGTAATTTTTCAGAGTTTTCCACAGTTTTTCACAGGTTTTCTCTACTCCTGTGGTTCTTCACTGGTTCTGTCCCAAACCCCTCCCTGGTCACCAACACCTGCCCTGGGACACTCCACAAACCCAGCCCTGGGATGCTGGAGCAGAACCCACCCCATGGGACAGAGATTTTGGGGTGCTGAGTGAGCCCAGGGCTTTGTTCAATAATGTTAAAATGTTTTGAGAACCTTGGAGTAAAAATCTGACTGAAGTGTTCTACAAACTGCACTAAACTGAACCCAAAAAACAGGCAAAAAATGGATGTTAACAACTAAATAAACCTTCAGAGTGGTGCCTCCAGAGTGTCTGACATGGAAAAGGCTGGAAGGTTCTAGGAATCCTCCCCAGTCCAGCATCAGGACAAGGATGGGGGTTTTATGTGGGCACAGATCCAAAATGTACCAAGGGATGGTTCCCACCTCCTCCCTGAGGTAAAAATCCAAGCTCACAGCCAGGAAATTGCTGCACCAGAGGGTCTGGGAGCTGCACTGCAGGAATTCCCAGGACATGGGCACAAATCAGAGTGAAGAGAAGAAAATAAAATTGGACAAATCCAGGAAGTCCCACCTGCTCCCCTTATGGACTCACAGCTAAATGACAACTGATTTTATTATAAAAACCTGTTTATTACTGATTTTCATTAATCCCAAACACAAACCCTTGGTGCTGAGCCATCCCCAGACCAGCCTGTTGACCAAAATTACATTTTTACAACTTCCAAAGCTCCTCACACTTGGCCAAGGGGATTCCTGGACAGATTTCCAGTTTAAAGGATTCCCACAGAGGACTTCTGCCTGCCATTACTGGGGCCAGGAATTCAGGAGCAATCCCTGAGCAGCCCCAAACCCAGACTTTTATAAACCACAGGAGCAGCAGGAACTGAAGGAATTTGGTATCATTTGGGATCAAGAGTGCTCAAAGGATCACAAGGGCAGGAGTAGCATGAGATAAACAGGAAAAAAAGAGAATTTAAAGCTTCTTAAGCACACTCTGAGGTTTATCCCACGTAGAGCAGCCAGACTTTGTGCCAGGGGGGCAAAGGATCACCCGTGACACAAAGCTCTCTGCCCCTTTAGGAAATACCTGTAAATGTTATTTCATTCAGGGTGTTTCCTCTCTTCACACAGAATGAAAAGGCACCCACAGAACAAAACCAAATTTGGGGAGGGGGTTTAAATTTAAATTGAAAATTCTCTGAGCACCCAGCCCAAGCAATTCCTGCTCAAAGTCATCACCAGCCCCTGAGACAGAGAGGGAACTTCCCTCCTCTTCTCTCTGCCTCTCATTGAGCAAACTTAAATATTATTTCACACACATTTGAGCTCTGACTGATGAGAGCTGACAGGCTCTGCCTGAGAACTTTATTGAAGCAAAAATTCCAGTTATTGGCAGAGCTCACAGAGTTGCCAGCCCATGATTTAAGTTTTAATGTCAGCACAGCAGCACTGACCAGCCCTCAGCATAAAATCCACGGACTGGACAAGCTGGAAGGACAATTGCTCCTGTTTATTAACAATCAGAGCTTCCAGGAGCCAGAAGGATTCAGTTTTTACTGTGCTGAGTGGAAGTGTCATTGTTTTTATTAATTAATTTGGCAGTTTAATTAGAGTGGCCTGCTGAAACATCCATGCACTTAAAAGAAAAATCCAGGAAATGCCTGGACCAGCTTTAATAAAAGCAGAACCTGCTGATTTATCTTCCCCTGATCAGCCCATACCATCACCCAGGAACTTGTTAATGCCTTTCATTCCCCAGAGTGGATCTGCTCCCTCTGAGCTGAGCTTTTTGCATCGTGGATTCTGCTCACAGCCCCTGTGCTAAGAGGATCCCACTCTGCAGATGTTGCTTTTAATTCAGGGCAACAGGAACATGTCCTTTACCTGTAAGGAAGAGCTGCTCTCCCCCAGGAGTCACAGGAATTAAGTGTTACCTGAAACAACACTGCCCTGCAGCATTTATTCCAACACAACTGCTGTTTTCTACTAACAGGGCTTTAAAAGAGAAGTTCCTGTGCACGAGGGCATGAAATTGTCACTGAGCTTGTTCTCAGAGCCCACACTGACTGGAGAGACAATTTCCAGGGGAGCCTCTAGAGATTGATAAAGCCAAGCAGCTCTGACCCTCAGAGGTTCACTCGTGTGTCCCCACCAAAGGCACCAAACCCCACTCCCCACACACCAAAAATCCCCTCAGCCCACAGAACATCACAGGTGGCTCCACTGAAAGCAAACTGAGCCAGGAGGGAGCAGGAAATGCTGCTGCAATCAGGGAAATACCTGTGCAGCACCTCCAGCTCTGCCCCACAGCCCTCCCTGGCTGCTCCTGCAGGGAAATCCTGCCCTGGGAACGAGCTGGAGCTGCTCCTGCTTCTCACTGAAATCACAATAAAAGCCACTTCTCCTCTTAAGCCTCCAGCCAACTCACACAACTGCTTTTTTTTTCTTCTCTGATGTCCTTGTCTTGTCCAAGGCAGCATCCCCTTGAAGAACAATCATTTACCATGGCCATGTTCAAAACCTCAGCTCTGCTGTTGCAAAGCCCCAGGACAGCCAGCATTGGCAGGAATCCCTGCTTGGTAACTGCTCTCCTGCCTTCCTCCCTAAATCTGCACCCCAGAGAGATTTAAAGCAGGGGAAAGGCAGACAGAACATGGAATCATTCCCCACCAAACAGCAAGTCTGACATCGCTGATCTTCAGGGCAGCAACCACAAAAAACACTCACTAACAAGGCAAGGAAGCAGCAAACTCCACTCCTTGTTTTTATGGAGGTGAGGGCAGTAATAACAGCAGGAATAATCATATTCCATTCCTTCTGTACCTCTAGCCAAATGGATTATTGAGTGATTATCCCCTTAACGTGCTCGGAGCCAGTGCTGATTGTGTGAGATCTGCAATGTGTTTTTCATTGGCTTAATTTTGCTCCTGCAGCGAGGAACCAAACGAAACCAGCGCCAGAAATGCCACTTGATAAGCTTGCCCTTGCAAAAAAATCAATATATCCAAACAAATCAACACAGAAATCCTCTGCTCTGTTTGCATCCCTCGTGCTCTGTTTCAGGTGTGCCACGGACGCTGCAAGTCTGCCTGGTTTGGCTCCCAACTTGCAGCAGGACAGGAAAAATCAGTTTTGGGAGAGTTGATGGCAGTGAAAAGCATCTTCCACACGGGAGAAACCTCACCTGCCATGGAGCTCAGCCTGGATGGGAAAAATCCCAGAATCAGGGAGGCTGGAAAAGCCCTCCAGGACCATTGAGTCCAAGCTGTGCCCAATCCCCACTTTGTCCCCAAGTGCCACCTCCAGCCCTTCCTTTGGATGCCCCTCCAGGGATGGGCATTCCAAACCTCCCGGGGCAATGCCTGACCACTCTTTCCATGGAGAAACTTCCCCTAAAATCCAATTTAAACCTCCCCTGGTTCAACTGGAGGCCGTTCCCTCTCCTCCTGTCCCTGTTCCCTGGCAGCACAGTCTGACCCCCCCGGCTGTCCCCTCCTGGCAGGAGCTGTGCAGAGCCACAAGGTCCCCCCTGAGCCTCCTTTGCTCCAGGATGAGCCCCTTCAGGAGCTCCATCAGGAGTTTTCCAGCCTTCCCTGGGCACTCTCCAGCCCCTCTGGAGCCCTCCAGTGTGCCAGCACTGATGGAAAACTGCCCCGTGCCCCCCCGAAAGGAGCTGAGCCCAGCCAGAGCCCCCCTGGCTGCTCTGCTCAGCAGCTTCAAGCCACACCCGAAC